TGCTGCTCAGGAGGCTGAGGCAGGAAGATTGCAAATTTGAGCTCAGCACGGGGCAACTTCTCAAGACTTTGTCTTCAGATATTTAAGTGGGCTGGGGATGTGGCTCAGGGGTAGAGCACTTGCCTAGTACATTGGAGATGCTGGCTGGGCTGGGTCCTCGGCACTGCAAAGAGGTGAATAAATAAAAAAAATTAAAGCTCATGGCTGAGGCAATCATCTTAAAAGCCAAAGCTTTTGATTTGAAAAGAATAAAGGGCTCAATGCCAGAGAAAGTAGGTCATAAGGTTTATGTCACAAGCAGCAGGTTGTGAAGAAGTAGGTGAAAGCCAGGGGATCCCCCCAAACACACCCTAAAAGCTGGATGAGGGAAGGGGCCATCTGCGGTGGGGGAGGAGGAGGAGGAGGAGTCAGTGGGTGGGAGTAGTCCTAAGCAGCGGTGAGGCAGTGAACAGGGAGAAACTGGAGGGGCTGAGAGTAATCCCAGCCCCCTGGGAGGCTGAGGCAGAAGGACATACAGTTCAAGTCCAGTCTAGCAAGACCTTGTCTCAAAATCAAAACTGAAAGAGAAATTCAAGTACCAGGGATGGAACTCAATAGAAAGATGTTCAATCCTCAGGGGGGAGGAGGAGGAGGGAGAGGAGGAGGAAGAGGAGGAAGAGGAGGAAGAGGAGGAGGAGGAAGAGGAGAAGGCAAGGAGGAGGAGAAGGAGGAGAAGGAGAAGGAAGGAGGAGGAGGAGAAGGAGAAGGCAGGAGGAGGAGAAGGGAGAAGAGGAGGAGAAGGAGGAGGAGGAGGAGGCAGGCAATGCCCAGCAAGCATCTGTTGCCACCCTGGACTATGTCAGGAGCCACTGGAGCTATGCATCTGATAGGGGAGGGGGACAGGGAAGCCATGGGACTGCCCCCGCATCCCGGCACTCGTGAGGGCACCCCCTCGTCCCAGGAGCTGTGAGGAGAACAAGTCTAGAAACCAAGCCTGATGAACTGAAGAAGCCCAAGGCTGTATCCCCAGAGAAGCAATTGTGGCCATCCCAAGCCTCTGCAGTTACAGAGTAACTTCCTTGTTTATTGTCAAAAACTCGGTCTGTTATATATAAAAAAAAATGTAGATATTTTAAAAGAATAGAGCTGGCATGGAGGCACACACCTGTGATCCCAGCAATCAGGAGGCTGAGGCAGGATTGCCGCCAGCTCGAGGCCAGACTGGGATACATAGTGAGATCCTATTGCCAAAATAGAGATTAGCCTGGCTTCAGCCTAGCCTGCCCTAGCTTACGTAGCACGGCACAGCAGAGCTGAGCGTTGCATCGCATCGCATTGACTCCATCATCCACCTGCCCAGAGATAACTGCTGCTGATCATCTGTCTCGGTTTTTCTAGACCTTTCTGTCTGTCTGCACGTAAATTTTAATTATGATCTAGATCACACCCTCTCTGAGATAGAATTATATCTTATGTATTTCCTTAGTTCCAGTACTGAGGATAATAATGAATGCATAAATAATGTTTAATCCGTATTTAGTTCATTACTTTGTTGTTAATTTTGTTTATTTATTTATTTATTTATTTATTTTTTTGCGGAACTGGGGTTTGAACCCAGGCCCTTGCACTTGCCAGGCAAACACTTAATCTACTGAGCTAACTCCCTGGCCCCAACTTTGTTTTTTTGAGACAGGGTCTTCAATCAGCATTCCGGGCTGGCTTTGAAATCACTATCTGACCCAGGAATAGGCCTCATCCAGCCTGCCTCAGCCTCCTGAGCGCTGAGATTATAGATGCATCCCATCACAACGAGCTTAATTAGTTAAATTTTGTATGACTTGTTTGGGATTGAACTCAGGGGCTTTCTACCACACTCAGCCCTTTTTATTTTTTATTTTGAAACAAGGTCTTGCTAAGTTTCCAGGCTGGCCTGGAATTCACTATTTTCCTAGTCCAGCCTCTTGAGTGGGAGACATTATAGTCCTGTACTACCCTGCTCAGCTTGATTAATTAATTTTTGAATGAAAACTGTCTCAAAAGCCCAGTAGGCCAAGAAAAAGAATCTATTTTCAATTATTATTGCAAATGACTTTCTTATACCGTGTGAATCTCAGGCATCCTAAGGAGTTTGGTCAGGGGAGATTAAGGCAGGAAATCCCTGGGGGTTGAGCTGGAGCATGTTGAATCCTATTACTGAGAAGTCCCAGCCAGCACTGGGCATGGTGGTGCCTGCCTGTAATGCTAGCATTTGAGAAGCTGAGGCAAGAAGACTGCAGGGAGTTCAAGGCCAGCTGAGGCTACCTAGTGAGTTTAGGGTCAGCCACGCCCCCGTCAGATCTTTGGGCAATAAATAATCCAACACATTCTCTAACACTTGGTCCCTTCCTCCCTCAAGAAGCGCAAGTCACCTTTGCTAGGCGAGGTGCAGCCACCATGCCTCTAGGTCCAGCTACTGGTTTACATGCAGAGTTTAACCCCCTTCCTTGCTTTTCCCGCCCTTTTCTCTGCAGGCTTGCTTCAGTCTCCCTGACCACCAGCGGACCTGGGAAGCAGAAGGTTCAGGGGTGCTCCCGTTCCCCTCACCAGCCACTTCTGAGAGCTGGGGAGCCCGGGCTGCACTGAGGTCTCCAGGGCCCCTGCCTGCCCGTCCTTTCCTGCTGTCTCCCTCACTTTCTGGCTCCTTCTCCTCATAGAACTGCAGCCTCTTCAGGCCGCCGAGCCCCTCCCTGTCGTCAGGATTCGTGTGGGAACCAGCTCAAGGTCGTAGAGCAAGGGCCCGGCCGGCCAGGGCGGGCTGGGAAGTGAGCCGAGCCTCCTTCCAGTTCTTCTGGCACAGACCCCAAGCTCAGTGGCCTCCGGGCGGGCGAGGAGAGGGGAGCCCCCACTGCCCATCCTGGGGACAGCCGACCCAGGAGCCTCCTCCTCTTTCTCCTCCTTTAGGGCCTCGATCCTGGCTGCTCCTGCGCAGGCTTTGTCATGAGGCCTTGGTGCCGCTGTAGGCCATGCACCCTGGGGTGGGGCAGGGGACGTGGAGCAAACAGGCTCAATAGGAAGGCCAGGATCTGCCACCTGCTGGCTGGATTCAAGTTTCCAGCAAATTCTTCTGGTCTTTCAATATTGCTGTGATCCCTGTGACCTTGAAATCCAAGCTCTCTGTCTTCAGGGACCCCACCTCTGTCCTCCCACTGAAGTCCCAGCTGTGAATCCCATTTGCACCAGCAGTCCTCTTACCCCCAGGGGGCAGGGGCTGTGCATGAAGCTGGCCCCAGATGCACTGGGGGGACATTCCAGGCAGTGTGACAGGCAGGTGTCAGGGAGGGGCTGGGGACACAGGACCCTAGCTTCCTGCGAACCCAACCCAATCTCCTCTCGGAGTAGGGCTGCAGCTTTTGTGCTTGTTACTGAATTCAGATTCCAAGGGAAGACAGGCTGCAGGTTGTTCCCAATTAGGAAACACGTAGAGGGCCAGGAACTCCTGCCAACGTCCCTGTTGGGGACTGTCCCCTCCCTGCACTGCAGGCCCAGAGGGATCGAGTAATGCTTCCTCTGGCCAAGGTAAGTGTCTCTGTCCCTGCCATCACCTCAGCTCTTCCAACAGGAACAGGGGGCAGGGCTTGGAGAGGTTTTCAGGGTGAAGTCATTGCCCACAGTGAAGGAGCGGCCACGTTGCGCAGGGCTCATGGGCCCTTGGGATGCCTGCCCGGAGCCAGGAGACTCTAAGAACACCTGAGTCACACTGCGTGTGGTGATCCTCCTGCCTCAGCCTCCTGAATCCTGGGATTACGGGCGGGCAGCGCCACGCCTGGCCTCTCCAACTCCTCTAGAGACTTTAAACTCAGTGTAGGCTACAGACTAACTGGTGGAGGATCAGCCTAGCAGCATCCACCCTCGCAGATGAAGGATTGACACAGACAGGAATGGGGAACTGGTGAGTCACTTACCAGGCACAGGGTGGGGAACTGGGTCCCTGGGATTGAGGGGAGCAAGGTGGACCCTGAGCTGAGATCATTGACTGGAATAAGCAATACCTGACCAGCTGCTCGTGGGCCCGGGACCGAGGATGAGGGGATGGAGGTATTGTCAGGGCCCCAGCTCCCATCTTCCCCAGCACCCGAGGAGAAGCAGCTTCCAAGCACCAGGCTTCCAGTGGACGCAGTGTCCTTGGAACCCAGGCTTTGTGAATGGTCAGGTCCTGTGGGAAACTGCCCTCCGCTTCCCTTTTCCTGGTGAACTCGTTTGACCACTCGTGCTACACAATGGCTGCCACAATGGAAACCTCAGATGTTGACCAGGAAGAGGCCCTAGGAATCTTCTCCACCCCTCATTGTCCAGAGGGAGGGAAATCTGTGCAGAAAGGAAGAGTGGCTTACTCTGCGTCACACAGGCCACCCTGCCCTGCCCTCCTCTGCCTGTCCCGGGCTCTCCTGAGAGGCTCAGGCTTCCCAGCTTGCAGCCAGCCCACTCTTCCCCCTGGCAGCCCTGGCTTGGAGCAGGGCCCAGGTGCACACCACCCCAGACACCACGGGCCCCACTGTCCTCCCCAGACAGGACAGACTCCACCCAGATCTGGGCCTCCTGTGACCCTGGACCCAGAAAATCCGCATTCCCATGGCTGAGTGACCTTCCCAAGAACAGCGGAACCATGACCCACTGAGTCAGGGGTGTGGAATTATACTTCGTCACCCGCGGATCAACATTCACATGTAAGACGCTGGTCTCCCCAGGCCCTGGACAGCTGGGGAATGAATGACTGGGAGCAGTAGATCTCAACTGGGGTGATTCTGAAATCCCAAAGGATTCTGGGTACTATCCAGGACGCTTTGGATTGTTAGAAATGAGTAGGGTTGGTATGGCATCTGACTGACAGGGGCCAGGGATTCTGTAAACATCTCACTGCGCAAGGATAGCACTCTGTTACCCAGCAAGAATCCTCTGGACTGGAAACTCCATCATTGGCAAATGAATGAGGAGCGGCTATGTCTCCCCAGCTACAAAGCCCAGCTGTCATAGTGGTGAGATGGCCACGCCCAGGTGTGATAACTTGAAAACATTTTATTTCAATTCTATCCTTGGGAGGCAGCATAAATAATCACAGAAGACCACAAAGGCCAATGGGGAAGAAAAAAAAGCTCCGGAAGTGAGGAAGGGCAATGAGAGTGGGCACTGTCTACTGCAGGGGGGCGGGGCAAGGAGATCCTGCACCCTGGCGGGAACAGGGGGCTCCTTGCCCGCTCCCGCAGGGGTCCATGGAGGGGCAGGTGCGGAGTGTCCCCTGCCCAGCAGCCCTCGGCCAGTGAGAGGGCGACAATCATTTCTGGATTCACAGGTTCCCCCACACTGTAACTTTTCTGAGAACAGCGCTTCTGGATTCAGCATGGGTGGCCAGAGATGCGAAGAGAAAAAGGAGGAAAGAAAGGAAAAGGTGCGGGTGATCAAACAAAACGGGGCGTCTTCCTGCACTGTGCACCTGGGAGCCACTTCTCTCTGTGTCCTCGGCTGCACAGTGAGGCAGAGGTGATGCTCGGTGACATCCTAGGGGTCAAAGAACTGAATGAACATTAAAGTGCTGTCCGATGGGGGGTAGCTGTGGTCATTCTACGTGCGTAAGGCTGAAAGTGGCTGAGAGCGAGCGCAGCAGGGAGAGACACACGTGGGTCCATAGGAGCCATCGGACCCAGTTCTGCAAATCTAGGGCCACACTCCACTCTTCTCAGCCTCGGCTTCTGGTGGAAGAGGCCTCATCTCAGATGGAGTCCCCTGGGGGCAGAGCCAAGGGGGCAGGCCAGGAGGGTCCAGGGCCACCGAGTGCCCTCAATTGGGCAGTGTGGTACGTTGGCACTACTGGTATTGGCTGATGGTAGAAGTGGCGTTAGACCTCATTCTGGGGAAGCCTGTAGGGCACTGGCATCTGTATGCAGGGAAGAGGGCTGGACCTTGGGATCTGGACACCCAGGCTCCATGGCGGGCCAGCTGGTGGACTCAGTACATTGCTCCCCATTGCAGCCCTCAGTTGTGTCATCTGATAAATGGGGACGTGAATCCCTACCCTGCCTAGCTCAAAAGTTCAATGGGAGAAGGGTATGCAAGAGCTTTAAAGAGAGTCACGGGCAGGTGAGGGGTCATTATGGCCTTAAAGAGTGTCCTCTTCATTCCCTGAAGACAAGGGCCAGGAGGGGAAGAGGCAGAAGGTGAGTCAGGCTGCCAAGGCTGTTGGGCCATGGTGGAGGGGTAGGACCCTGGGCTGGAGATCCAGCCCCGCACTGCAGGCCCAGGCAGGACCCAGAGCCAGGAGCGCCCCATGTCCTGGCAGCCCCTTGGCAGGAGAAAGTTCAAGTCTTAAGTCGAGATGGGATCTGTATCCCACTCTGTCCCTGGTCCATGGAGGGCAACCCTCGGGGAGTCTGTAGTCTTGGCTCAGCTGAGGGGAAGCCTGGCTCCTGGGATGGCGGGGAAAGGGGTGTGCACGGGAGGCTGGGAACTAGGCTTAGCGCGAGGTCAGGAGGTCAAGGGTTGGCTTCCAGTTGTTGAGGTGGAAGGTGGGGTCCTCAGGCTGGCCCCCAGCTCCAGTCCTGATGTCTCCGGGGCCACCAGATGAGGGGAAGTTAAGGGACGAGTAGAAACCACGGCGAGATAGCTTGGAGAGCAGCCCCGTGCTAGCAGTTCTTGGGGCTGTTGCGCAAGTTTTTCAGTTCCAGCTGGAGCTGCCGGATGCGGACGTCTTTCTGAGCCAGTTCCTCCTTCAACCTCCGGATCTCGTCCTGCTGCCGGAAGAACATCCGGAGGAGCTGAGTTGGGAGAGAAGGCCAGGGAGGCCGGGAGAGAGGTGAGGAGGGGCTCGGAAGGGGGGGAGTCTCAGACACGCCTCCATGCCTACCATTCCCAGCTTCTACCATCCTTGCCTGGCTCCAACCACAGGTCCTGCTTTCCCTCCCGAGGTAGGAGGAGGAAAACCCGGGCCCCCTGGCTTCCTGAATCATCCCTTGAAAGGATTCCAAACCTAAAGATCTCTTTACCATGCTTTTACCATCCTAGATGAAACTCGTCCTAGTGTTTTGCATTTTCTCTCTTGGGGTTGCATCCATTTCCTTCGTACTGAAGGACATCGCCAGCCCCTTTGAGTTGTTATATTGCCCAGATTGGGCTAAAAAATGCAATCCCAGGGCCGGGGAAATGGCTCAGTGGAATAAGCGCTTCCCTGGCAAGCGCAAGGGCCTGAGTTCAGTACCTGGTTCCAGGAGAAAAGCTGGGAAACATGACAGGGGCAAAGCCATGCATTTGTACGCACGAGATGGGTGGGGCAGTGACCCTGGGGGACATCAGCAGGTTTTTGAGACTAGCGGTTGGTTAGTGAGATTTTCACCCTGACTAATTGTATATGCTGGTGCCCGTGAGCCAGGCGGCTGCACTGAGGATGGCGATGTGTAATAGAGAGGTCACGCTTGGAGTGCCTGCCATCCTTCTAAATAAGTACTTCTTGTTATGACATACCATTTATTGCCATAATGTCTCTCATGTAAAGTTTTTTTTAAGAGTAATAAATGGGAAAAAAATGTCAACCCCCCAAAAAGCCCCGGTTCCACCAAAAACAAAACAAAACAAAACAAAAAACCGGCTGGAGAGATGGCTCAGTGGTCTAAAGCACCTACTTGAAACAAGCTTGGCAAAGCACAGGGACCGCGGTTCAATCCCCCAGCACCACATGCCAGCCAGCCCCGCCCCCTGGTGGGCTGAGCTGGCCACACACACATACAATAAATAAATGTAATAAATAAAAATAAATAAATAATTTAAAAAAAACCCCACAATCCTCCTGCGTCTGCCTCCCAGGATTCTGAGATTACAGGCATGCACCCACACTGGCTTGCAGCCTTCTTGTATGAACGAGAATTCAGGGTACAAAATGGAATCTAGTTGTTTTGTTTTGTAACGCTGGGGTCCAACAAAGGACCTCACATATGCTAGGGATACACTGTGCTATGTCCCTACCTCTAGAATTTAGCCTTTAAAACACAAGACTATAACAAAAACACCGGAAAGATTTCACTGGGTGGTGATCCACTTTTTACAAGGCCCTGGGCAAAGCCTAGCATCTTGGCAGATCCTCGCTCAATCACGCCTTGGATGCACCCGCTTCTCCATTTCTCCTGTGAGACACCCCAGGAGGTGGTCACAAGTGCTGTACCCTGGAAGGCTGCAGGCTACACAAGGACGCTGCAAGCAGGAGTCGAGTGTTAGCCACTTGTGTTTGTGTAACTCTGGGGTGAAATACATTTGCTTTTTTTTTTTTTTTTTCCTGTATTTGGTACAAGGTCTCACTACATACCATGAACTTGTAGTGATCCTCCTATTTTCAACCTCCCCAGTGCTGGGATTGCAGATATGCACCACCATGCCCAGTCTTGGTGGCCAGCTCAGTGTGCCCGGGGGCGGGGCTGGCAGGGTATGTGGTGCTGGGGATTGAACCCAGGTCCCTGCGCTTGCCTAAGCAGGCGCTTAGTCCACTGAACTATTTCGCCAGCCCTCTCTAGGCAATCCTCTTGCCTCAGCCTCCTGAGCACTGCACCACCATGCCCAGAATTTTTGTCCTTATAGTAAGTAATTATCTGTGCTGCTGTGCCTGCCACAGTCTCAAAACTTTTTGCGCAGATTTTTAGGTGCACGCTTGTCACAAAGCAGCTTCCCTGAGGTATAATTTGTATGCCATAAAATTCACCATTTTTACTACAAACATGTACTAATGCAAACAAAAATTGGGGGCCTGGGATATAGCTCAGCAGCACACCTGCCTGGCAAACATGAGGTCATGAGTTTGATTCCTGGTACCAAAATAAATAAAGAAAAATTTAGCATCTAAGCCTACAACTTTTTTTTTTTTAAACCGGAGATTGAACTCAGACCCTTGCGCATGCCAGGGAAGCGCTTATTCTACTGAGCCATCTCCCCGGCCCTAAGTCTACAATTTAGATTGAACTCAGATCCTTGCATTTGCCAGTCAAGCGCTTATCCTACTGAGCCATCTCCCTGGCCCCTTAATGATTTTTTTAAAAAAAGTAAGTTATTGAGCCATGCAACTGCAAATCACGTTCTCTGCCCCAAGTTCTTATCCATCATTCCCAGTCAGCTGTAATGCTTAAGAGTACAGATAGCACCAAGGGCCACAGGCTCATGCAAAGTCTTTTCCAGGAGGAGGCCACCTAGCTTTGGTGTTGAGGGACCCTGGTGTCTACCTGCTCTGTGTAGAGAGATCCTCAGAAGTCTCTGTCAGGATCTCCATTCCGATTCATATACTGATAGCTCAGTGTCCCTTCCCTCAACTCTTCCCAGCCTGCCTCCTGCATACCCAGCGCCGCGACTGAGTTTCAGCCTCACCGCTGCCCAGCTGTGCTGCTGCGGCGACTCAATCCACAGAAGCCTGTGGATGATAGACACCTGTGGCTTTACGTCCTTAAGTTCTGGGGTAATTCCTTACGCAGCAGTGGGTAGCTGATACATCTGGCTCCTATTTTCTGGGACATTTTAAGTGGATTATCTTTTTAATTCACACCACACTTCCTAGCCCCATTTTGCCATGAGGAAATGGACAAAGAAGGGTCAGGAACCTTGCTCAGTCCTGGGGAGGAATCGGGGGAGCCAGGATTCACATGCAGATGGCCCCACCACGCACTTTGGGTTTTGCATGTGGCCTGTGGCTGAGCTGAGTTTTCCTGGCCTGGGGGAGGTGCACTGGAAGATCAGACAAGGCCTGGCTCTAGGTGACCCCCCTCCCCCGCCACCCAGTGAGCCTGGTTGCACTCCACATGGCACACAGGACCTTTCCTAAATAGCCAAGCTCTTCCATAAGACCAGCAAGTGTCACCGCCCATCCTTGCCACAATGCCTGGGAGGGAGGCAAGACCATGACATACAACTCCTATGCCACCAGCCCCCCCAAATGGTTTCTCAAGGAGATGCCAAGCCTGCGTCCATGCATTTGAGGGTGGGGTGTGTGTGGCCATGCCTGTGTGACACCCCAGCCTCAATCTATGGGGGTCAGAGACAGTGCAAGCTGTGGGCAAGTTACTTATGGTATTTGTCACTGAAAGACAGATGCCTCCCAGCACGGCTGGCTTGTGGGCCTGAAGCCTGTAATTGAAACATAAAGGTCTTGCTCCTCCAGGGCCCTGGAGCGGGTAACTTATGTGCTTTACCTCGTTCTCTGTCCTGGGTGGGACATTTTCTAATAAATCTATGCCGTTGACCACGACACTCTTCTTTTCTCTGATGGGAGCTTTGAACACCACTTTGGAAGACCTCTTGTAGCCCTCCTTCAGGGACATCAGCACGGGGTCTAGGAAGCAGGAAAGGTGTCACCCTGAAGGATGGTGGCAGGTGGCAGGGCATGGAGGAACTCAGGGAGCAGGGAGAGTGAGGCCAGGCAAGGGGGCAGCTCTGGCCTCTTCCGGGAAGTACCTCGGTTGATGCCGCCCAGCCACTCGTCTGGGGTCAAGGCCGGCTCTGTGCCTGGCGTCATGGGGTAGATGTCTTCCTGGTAGGAATCCGACTGTGGGGGCAGCAGCGGGGAGTGAGATGGCCCTACCCTGGCCTTGCTGTTGGGGGGTCCCCACAGCAGTGACTCCTGCCTTCCACCCCCAGTGGGGCCTCACACCCCTCCTGCATCTGGCCTCTCTCCTGGACCATGGTAAGCAAGTCTGGGCTCCCGCAGGGCTCCGGAGCCCCACTCACCCTCCGCGGCACAATCATGGAGATCGGCTCGATCAGGCCCTTGAGGGTCACCAGCTTGTAGAAGCGGAACACCTCGCAGGCTGACACATCCAGCCCGTGCTTGGGCATGACACCTGTGGGGAGACACACGGCTCCCTGAGGACCTGGTCAGCATCACCCGGTACCCACCAGCCCCTGCCTTGTGCCCTCTGCTGGGTACCGGCTGAGTTCTGCAGGTCTGTGATGGCCCAAGGGCAGAGATGGCAGGAACGCCGCTCCGGGAAGAGACAGTGGGCTTTGAATCTGGGCTCTGCCCCTTCAAGCTAGGAGGCCTTGGCCACATCACAGATTCTGGTTCCCTGAGGCATTGGGGATGCTTGTTACCTGCCTGGCCCCGTGACGAGCACAGGCAGTGCTCGGGTCTTTCCCTGGACTGAGAGCCCCAGGCAGGGCTTGAGGGCTACCCTGGGACAGAAGCTGCTCCTCTAGACAAGGAATCCCAAGAGCTGTAGGATGAGGGGTGGAGGATGCGCCCTGGTGCGCAGAGCCAGAGGGCTGGGTTTCAATTCTTATTTTCCTTCCAGAGTGCTGGTGACCAGGGCTTCATGCCCCCGAGGCTGGTGCCCTTCTGTGGACCTCCAGTCCCAGCCCCTTCCTTTGTGTTTGTTTGGCTTTTTTCTGAGACAGCGCCTCTCTAGGTTGTTCAGGTTGACTTTGAGCTTGTGAGCCTCCTGCCTCAGCCTCGTCAGCAGCTGAGCTACAGGTGTTCAAGCCCCTGCGCCTGGATTGGGTCTGGATTCTGTTTCTGCCCCTCTGCAGCTCCTCAGGGCTGAGCTGCTTTCTTTCTCTGAGCCTTTGAAAAGTGCCTGGCTCTTGATTTTTTTTTTTTTTCCCCATCCCTCTCCCCACCTCTGGCTCTTGATTAATGCTGAGTGTGGCCCAGCTTTCCCCACTGTTCCTGGGTCCAGCCTGCTTCCTATTTGTCCCTTGTACCAGCCTTTTTCCTAAAAGGACCCCGGGGATGACAGAGTTAGGGATGAGGAACAGTCATTAGGACCTCAGATGGCTCTGGGCCCTTTGCTGTTGGTCATTAAAGAACAGGGTGGCTCTCCACATCCCTGACGCTGGCCCTCGGCCCTGCCTGTGACACCAGACACACAGCGGCTACAAGCTGCACTCCACTCTAAGGAGCAGTGTCACCTGCACAGGCAGAAATGGGTGGCTGGAACATTTGGCCCAAAGGGGATTGGGGCCCCTGTGTGTCCCTACTGGGTCAGAGGCACCACCAGCATAGGTGGACAGGAGTGGGAATGTCACTTTGAGACTGAAGGTCAGCCAGAATCTGGTCCCGGTCCTGGTCTGCGCTTAGTCTGAGAACCCGGGCAGCAGAGCAGTGCTGGCTGTGATGGTGCCCAGAGCCACCTCCTCCCTCATTAGTGAGGATGGAGCTGTTGCCGAGGACACCAGCGTCAGCTCCACTCTGCACTCAGCCTCCCCCGAGCAAAGTGACAGTGGACACAAAGGCCACGAAAGGACGGTGCCTGCTCAAGACCAGAGACAGGCTGGCTGCAGGAGCAGCCAGGGTCCAGGCTCCAGTACCGCGGTAGCCCCTGGCCCTTACCTAGGCCTTTCTGCGGGGCTGGGGAGCGGAACTCCATGAGGTAACTCAGGTAGGGCTTTTCCGTGCTGATCTCGTAGTACCGGATGTTCCCATCGCCCTAGGGTGGGTGAGAGAGGGTGAGGAGTTTGTTTGCTTGCCGTTTGTTTTGACATAGGGTCACCATGTAGCCCAGGCTGGCTTTGAACTTGCAGCGACCCTCCTGCTTCAGCCTCCCAGCTGGGATTACAGGTGTGCGCCACCACATCTGGCTCTTATGTTTTGAGACATAGACTCATAGGAGTTGTCTAGGCTGGGCTCGAAGTTGCAGTTCTTCCAAGGAGCTGGGATTACAGGTGAGGACAGGCACAGTGCCAGCTTTTCTGGTAAACAAGGCAGAATTCATCCAAGATCTCCAGATAAATGTTTCAGATTCCACCCCTGTCACAGCCACTGCACTTCGGGCTCTCCTCTTTATCCCAACATCAAGCCCTACTCCAGCTCACCTGAAAGGAACTGGCAGTCATCCACACTTCAGTAAGAGTGAGTGTCAGACTTGTTGGGGTGGGGGAAGAAGGACCCAGAAATCCAGAGAAGTTGGGCTGGTTCTCACCCACTGGGACATGGGGTTCTCCCAGGGGGCCCCCATGCTCCCCTACCTTTCCAGCCAGGTAGAGCATATGGGTATCAGCATCATAGAAAGGGAACAGGAGACCGGAGAGCCCGTCAATCTCTTCCTCGATCAAGGGCATGGACAGATCTTCCTGCGGGAGGAGGAGGAGGGATGGGTCAGCCCATGTCCAGGCAGGATGGTGTGGCACTGTCTCCAGCTCAAGCCAGGCCCCCAGAACTGCAGCCCCTTTATGCCGACACTCTCTCTGGTGTTTTCTTGGTTTCTCATTTTGTGAGACAGGCTCTCACTATATAGCCCAGGCTGGCCTCAAACTCCTGTTGATCCTCCCATTTCAGCCTCCGGGTTCTGGGATTCCAGGCGTGCGCCACCACACCGTCTTCCTTCTGATGTTAAAAAGCCCATCCTACAGTGGGTGACAGCTGCGTTCTTCATCACAGGAAGTGACTTAGAGGCTTGGCCTCGGCATCCTCTCTCCGTACCCACTATGTACTCCAAGTGAGTCCCAGATTGCTGTGGAGCTCAACCCCGATTCTGGAGGAAGCCCCCCACCACCACCATTGTTGCTGCTGACCTGGTCCCAGAGGGCGATCTGTCTCGTGTTCCACCTGGAGACCCCAGTGGTGAGGAGCCGCTTCGTGCTGCCCAGGAACACCACCCGGTTCACCCTGTGGTTTTTGCAGTTCGCCTCCTGGTGGGGACAGAGAGCGGGTGAGCAGGGACCCCCACGACTTAGGGACTGTCATGGCCGAATGGCGGTTTCCCCTGAAGATGCCCATGTCCTGAGTCCAGGACGGAATATTGCCTTATGTGGCCAAAAGGTCCTTGCAGATGTAACGAGTGAGGCTGGAATGAGATCACCCTGATCATGCAGCGGCCTGGAACGCCATGCTGAGGGCCCTGGGAGGAGGGAGGTGGGATTATGCAGACACAGAGGAGGAGGGAGAGCCAGTGGCCAGAGAGGCTGGAAGAGCAGGTAGCAGGCTTTCTCCCCTAGAGCCTCTGCAGGCGCCTGCCCTGAGACACCTTGATGCGGCATCGCCCTCCCCAGCTGTGAAGGAGCAGGTGTCCCTGTCGTTCTCAGCCACATAGCTTGTGGTTAACTTTTACAGCAGCTTCAGGAAACAAACACAGGTGCTCAGGAGCTGCAGAGCCCTGGGACGGAACCCGGGCCTCTGATGTTTCCCACAGAACCTAAGATCTTCCCAACCTCATGCAGCTCCTTGCCAGGCGAGTTCACCCCAGGGAGGAAACGGCCGGGGTGGGGGCAGCCCACACCTCCCAGCCAGCTATGCTGGGTTTGTGCTTCAGCCCTACCCCTGCCCGCCCCCCAAAGAAGTGCAGCCCAGGAGACGCCCCTGCCCCTCCGGGCTTCGGGCCTCATCTGCGAGTCGGAGGGTGAATCTTCCTCCTTAAACACCCTGTCTGTTTCACAAGGGTTCTGCACTTGAGTTCTAGCTCCTTTGGAACCAGAGCTGGGAAGTCCAAGTGTGCAGCCCTCTCCAAGACTCCGTGTCCTCATGTCCTGTGTAGAATGGGAAGAGTGACAGAGTGACAGCTCCCATTTTTTTTTTTTTTTTTTTTTTCAGAACCGGGGATTGAACTCAGACCCTTTCACTTGCGAGGGAAGTGCTTATTCTACTGAGCCATCTCCCTGGCCCCTATAATCATTTCATTTGCGCTGGCAAGAACTGATTCCCTGCTCTTACACTATTAGACACTCACATCAGGCACTGCTCTTTCTTGTGTGCTAGGAAAAACCCCTACTTCATCTACGTTGTTCACCCTCCCCAGCCCTGTGCGGTGGTTAATCTTGACTGATGTCAGGAAGGATCTGATTAAAGAAAAGATGGACCTGATGGATTCCCAGGGGAGGAGTCAAGCACACCCCTGCCTTGCCTGCACGGGTCACGGAGGGTGCCCATGAGAACTCCATGTGGCCCCTGGCCCTGCCCCTCTGGCTCTTTTTCTTCTGTGTCCTGGCTGCCAGGAGTTGAGCTGCCTCCTTCGGCCACACCCTTCTGCCTTGGAGCCTCCTAACCATGTACTGAACCTTCTGGAACCACAATCCTCAATAAGCCTCCTCTCCTTTAAATTGTGCAAGTGTGGTGACAGCCACAGAAAGGTGACGAATACATCCATGGCCACTACACAGGAGGTGCTCGACAGTGGCCACCAGCCACCGGGCGCTCCCACATGACACCCAATCCCTTCCTCACACTAAGACAGAAGATCCAAGACCCAAAGCAGCTAATTGGCATGGTGCTCTGAACCTGGGGACATGGCTGGGTCATGAGTCCCAAATTCCCTTGTCCTGCCCCTAGGGTGGGACTGGATTAGCTGCTGGAGATTCATCCCTTCTGCAGGAGGGGGTTGCCATGGGGACAAGGATCTAGGATACAGCCAGCCCTCTCTGAAGGAAGGCAGGAGGGCTCCCAGAGCAGGTGGGCCGGGAGGAGGAGCCCTACACAGTCATTTCCACCAGGCAAGGCCAGAAGCCTGGTCCCAACTCCCAAACCTTCCCTCTCCACCTCAAAAAAATGCTGGGTTCCACCTGCAGAACACGGCCTGAGCGGGGCTCGATCACACGCAGCTTCTTGTCTTTGCAAGTGGTGGTGAGCAGGCTGCCGTCCGTGTTGAAGGACATGCAGAGGATGACATCCGTGTGGCAGTCAATCATCTTCACCGGCTCACCCACGTCCAGGTTCCAGATGAGGACCTGCCAGGGCAGACGAGGCACCCACGGTCCTCACCCAGAGCCACGTGGAGACCACGGTAGCCTGGGCTGCATCGTGGTGCCACTGAGTTCTACGCAGAAGGGCGCCACGTCGGGGGACACCGCTTACAGATCTCTGTGGATGGCTCCTAGCCTGAGCCTGGGTGCACTTTGTGCAGCTGGCAGGACGGAAAACGTGCTGTGCCCGGGTGCCTGGCACAGCTCTTTGGAGAGCCCGCATGGGCCAGGGCCAGGGCCAGGGCCTCATGCTTGGGCTGCTACCTCTGCTGCTAGAAGTGTCCCTGCTCCCTTTCTAATGGACAAGAGTGGTGCACTCAGGGTAGCACTGTGCAGACCCCTTTTACTACTGGGAGGGCAGAGCTCATCTCCTGGTCCTGGGGTGTGGACCTGGGATGGGGATTCTCCGTCAGCCCCTGCAACCCCGTAGGCTCCAGGAATAGTGGGAGGTGTGGACTTGCCATGTTGGTTGAGGTGCTCAGGTAAACAGTCTCTATAGGCCTAGGAAACACCCCTTCTCCCTCCCTGATCCCCGCCCTGCCTGGCCACATACCTTATAGTCATAGCCGGCGCTGAAGAGGATGTTGTTGGTCGTGGGGTGCCACTCGACCAGCCCCACGCGCCGGCTGTGGCCATGGAGCTGCAGCAGTGCCTCGGTCATGTTCCGCTTCAGCCCGCCCTCGGGGATCTCCCAGATCCGCACCTGCACAGGGGAGTGGCCGGCGTTGTGGGGGGGGGTGCCCCTTCCTGGGACACCCAGCTTGGTAGGCCTCCTGGTTCAGGGCAGTGGGCAGAGCACAGGTGAGGCCTGGAGTGAGGTCCCAGGGATGGAGAGAGGAGAAAGAGGCCAGGCCCCTGGCCTTGGATGACAGTTGATTCTGGGGGTGTCTGTGGTCCTGGCCTGTTGCTCTTGCTGTATCTCAGGCCCAGCCCCTGAACCCCCAGCTTTTAGCAAGCATCGCAGTAGAGTGTCTGAGAGTCCTCCCATCCACACACTCCAAGAGCCTGCCTTCCCACCCGCTCCCCATCCCAGCTCCCGCTCGCTGCACCATGGCCTTGGCCCCTGCTCTGTGCCCCCTGAGATAGTCACGGGCACGGTGCCATGTCACCAGGAGCTGGAGGCTGAGTCTGTGCCGAGATGACGGGCTCGGGGGCTGGAGGTCAGGCAGGCCTAGAGGACAAGCAGAGCCCGGTGGTGGTGCTATTTTTGGTTCTGTGGATGCTGACAAAGAGACAGAGAAATGGAAGGACAGGACCTGCGGGAACAGCAGAGAGAAGGATCGGATGGCCCTGGGGGGGAGCGGAACCCTTTCTCCGAAGTCCCCTAGCGGCCCTGCCTAGCGCCATTGCCTCAGAGAGCGGTGGTCACTCAAGCCAAGCCCATGTCAAAGTCTCCATCGTGTCAACTATAAAGGTATTGGGCAGGGGTCTGGGCCTGCTGTGCCTACAGTGGCATCAAATGCGATAATGGTTGTAACCACTTATAAATGATGACCTATGAGTCACTGTTCTTGTTATTTTCATCACTGGTATTATTAGAGCATAATAGGCCCCACATGGTGGCACACACTTATTAATTGCAGCACTCAGGAGGCTGAGGCAGGAGGCTTGCTGCGAGTTTGAGGCCAGCCTGGGCTACATAGCAAGATCCTATCTCAAAAAAGTAAAAGCAACACCACCAAAAAATTCCTTTGAAAATTTGCACATAATGGGGCCGGGGAGATGGCTCAGTGGAATAAGCGCTTCCCTGGCAAGCGCAAGGACCTGAGTTCAATCCCCGGTTCCACCAAAAAAAAAAAAAAAAAAATTTGCTCATAGATCTGATTGCTGTCAGTCATATCTTAGGTCAGAGGAACTCTTTTGGACACCATTTGATAATCTTTTGTAGGAACCATAGAAGCATTTATATTATACTCTTTGATCCAATCTCACCCTTAAAATTCTTTTTTTGTGTGTGTATATTTTAGGGAAGGGTCTACAGGGTGTTCAGGGTCTCACTATTAGATCGGACTCATAGTGATCCTCTTGTTTACAGCCTCCCAAGAGCTGGGATTACAGGCGCGCCACTACATCCAGTCTCCGCTGCCATCTCAGCGCCCCCTGGTGGCGGGCCGGCATGGCAGGCCCAGGGATCGAACCCCTGGCCCCTGCGCCTGCTTGCAGGTACTTTAATCTGCTCGCCCTCAAAATTCAACACACACTCAATCCCCGGTTCCGCAAAAA